ACAGCTTTGGGTGTGTTGAGAAAGGATTCAAGTTTCCATCTGCCATTTTCGGGCAGGGTGGGTTTTCGGAGCCGCCTAACAAAATCCACCCTGGGTTTTCTCAGCCACCAGATCTTTCATCTCAAGTTCCAATAGGGTCCCCCCATATATTTTATCATTCGGGAACCTCGGGCTGTTGAAATTCACGGCTCTTGATGCGCTATGCTGGGTTTTCCTCAAACTTGGCTATTTTTTAAGACCGGTGGACTTCAACTCCCAGAATTCCCCATGGCTGGCTGGCTGGCTGGGGAATTTTGGGAGTTGAAGTCCACCGGTCTTAAAAAAGTGGCCAAGCTTGAGAAAGACTGCACTAGCCTGGGCTAAGAAAGGCAGATTTTGTACAATTGATCTGATGGGGCTGGGATCTCTTCCCTCGCTGCATCCTAGAATGCAACGGGAATCCTGTTGCATTCTTTCAGGGAATCCTGCTTAAATCCCCAGGAATTTGGGCACCTGAGAAACAATAATGCTAAGAGGGCAAACAGCCATGACATCGAAGCAGTAGACTCTGAATATCAAAGCAGCCTTTCTAATACACTGTTTTAAGTTGGCCGCCTATTTAAAACAATGAGGACTAGAAACTTACAGGAGAAAGTCTTAAGGACTGATTCATGGGACCCTGGTCACTATCAAACCTGATAAAACTTTCAAAAGATATTACCATGGTTGTCCAGTGGTCAGGGATCCTTGACTTAGTACCTTCCAACTCCCATAATTCCTACTCAAAAGAGAGTAGTCACGCCAGCAAGGGGATTCTGGGAATTGTAGTCTTAAATACCTGGAGGGCACATGGTTGCGGAAATAGTTCCAACCATTGTAAATAACGTGCCAGTTGTCCAGCCTCCAGATGTACGACTATAGAGACGCTGTGATGGCCATAAGTTTGTAACTTTGATCGCCAAATGGTCGCTAAATCGAGGACAATATAGTGTGAAAATATTTGGGGGATAAGTTAAAATCTGGTGACTTTACGGACACGTCCACCTCAAATATATTTACATGGGTACGAAAAACAATATTCAAATATATATATAAAAAAAAGATCCCGGGGGAATGCAAACTTTGAACATTTATCACAAAAGATCTTAGCTACCCGAAATTGCTGACTTCTGTATAAATTGTTTTTTTTTTCCTTCATTATCGTTGCAAAAAGGAGCTGAATTTAGCTGTATAAAGACCTTGGGGTCTTTGTCCTTTTCCCTTGGAGATTTTCCTCGGTTGCCTTGGGATCGAAGCTGGATCCAGCCTCAATTGTTTGCGCCCCGTCCTTTCAAAGCCATTGGCCGGCTTTGTTGAAGCTCGGCCTTTTTTTCCTGGTGGATATTTCATACGGTGGGCGTGGAAGTTTTAAAAGCTGGATGGAATCTGCCGAGAATTGCTCTCGCTTTTCGGAGCTACGGAGGGCTCCCGTTTGCAAAGTGGGGAAAAAAAAAACGCATTTTCCAGAAAACTTCCTTTCTCTGCATCGAACGTGCAACACACCCCACAAGAATGGGAAATAAATAACGCCGTGATGGCATTATTTAGAGGTGGCACGCAGAGACATCTGTGGGCACGCGTGCCGTCGCCAGCTACTGCTCTGGTTTCCGGTGCGCAAGCTAGTCTTTGCGGGTACTCAAGTGCCGGAAAATGGCCTGAAAATGGCCCAAAAATGCCCCCAAAACAGCCTGTAAATGGCTCCAAAAGCAGCCTGAAAATTGCCCCAAAAACAGTCTGTAAATGGCCTGAAAACGGCCCCCAAAACAGCCAAAAAACAGACATGCTCTTTGGATTTCCGGCACTCTGGCGCACACACATGCACGCACATGCATGCGTGTTCCGGTTTGGCCACTCGGTGCCGAAAAGGTTGGCCATCACTGATATAGAGTGTACATCTAAGGAAGAGCAGGCGATGGAACAAGGACCCAATTCCAATCCTTGGATCTGTTGCACCTTCCTGGATCTCTCTCTGCTTAGGGCACCTGACATCCTGAAGGCCCAAAGCACCTTTGCAATCCCCTGCTTGACCTGGAAATGCACAGGTGTTTTATTTTTATTTTATTTTTGGTGTTTACTGGCAGTCCTCAGCATACGACAGTTCATTCAGTGACCATGCAAAGTTGAAATGGTATTGAAAAAATGTGACTTATGACCGTTTTCCACAGCTGCCACCTTTGCAGCATCCGTATGATCCTGGGAGCAAAATTTCAGATGCTTGACAACTGGGTTCAGATTTACGACGGTCGCAGTGAATGATCCCCTTTTGGCGCCGAAGTCAATGGGGAAGCCAGATTCACTTAGCAACCGGGTTATTAATTTATCAGCTGCAGGGATTCACTTAACAATTGCGGTAAGAACGGCCTTAAAAGGCGTCAAAACTCACTTAACAAATGTCCCACTTAACAACAGAAATTTGGGGCTCAATTGTCATAAGTCGAGGACTATGTTATTTTATTTTTTTATTTATATGCCGCCTTTGTTTTTACAAATAACTCAAGGCAGCAAACGTATCCCAACACACCTCCCTCCTATTTTCCCCACACCAACAACTTTTGAGGTGGGTTGGGCTAAGAGAGAAGGAGTGGCCCAAAGTCACCCAGCTGGCTTTCATGGCAGGACTTGAACTCGTGACCTCTTGCTTTTTACCATGGCACCTTAACCACTAGACCAGGGATGGCTAACCTTTTTGCCGTCGCGTGCCAAAAACGGGTCGCACGTACGTGTGCCCACATCCATAATTCAGTGCTCTACATCCTGCAATGCGTGCGCAATCCCCCCAGGCTCTCCCCGCTTTTGGCACGTGATGGCCCGGCAGGCCTGTTTTTCACCCTCCCCAGGCTCTAGAGGCTTTCTTGGATCCTGGGGAGGGCTGAAACAGCCTTCCTCCCCCCAGAGGCCCTCCGGAGGCCGGAAACGGCCCGTTTCCCGACTTCCGGTGGGACCGGAAGGCCCGTTTTTCGTTCTCCCCAGGCTCGCTGGAGCTGAGCCAGGACAACGCTCGCGTGCTCACCGATATGGCTCTGCGTGCCACCTGTGGCACGCGTGCCACAGGCTCGCCATCACGGCACTAGACCAAACTGCCACTCTTTCAAGGGGCTTTTGGGGAACCGAACGGCCATTGCTCGGTTGGACGTCAGTTGGTGGGGCTCCTTCGAACCTAAAGCCCAGGTGTGAGACGACTACATCTCCCAACCTGCCTTGGGGCAGCCTTAAACAGGTACAGGGCCTTGAGGTTGGGCTAAGACTGGTCCAAGCTGCTGCAGCCCAGCTGTGACCTTTCTCTGAAAGTCACTGTATTTATAGGCATGCCAGTGAGTGACAGCCACAGTGTGTGTGTGTGTGTGTCTGTGTGTGTCCCGGTTCTCTTGCCAGGAGTTTCGGCTGGGCAGGAATCCTGGCAGCTGCCCTCCCTCCCTTTCCAGGATCGCCCAGTGCCAACATGCCACTTCTCCATCACCAAGGAGCTCCAGGCTGCTGCCTTTCGATGCCCCTCCCCATCCGTCACACGAAGTACGGCTGCCAACAGCGGCCATCCGCCCCCTCCCACTCCCCACCCCCGCCCCCAAGGGTTTTACAGTACATGGCACGACCCAGGCACGATCGTGCCAGCTGGGAGTGATGGGAGTTGTAGTTCTGCGGCGGCCGGAAGGCTTTCAAATTGCCTGGCGTTGGCTGAAAGGAGGAGATCAAACCACAGCTCCTGTCTCTATTTGAAGCCGCACCTTTGCAGTGTAACAGTAGTCATGAGGACTAGATGCTTGTTCTCTTTGAGGGCTAGATGCTGGGTGTGCCCCTCGGTGGCAGCCCCTCGAATATAGCAGCCTTCCAGTATTTGAGGGGCTGCCCCAAAGAAGAGGGGAGGGTCAAGCTAGCCTCCAAAGCACCAGAAGGCAGGACAAGAAGCAATGGATGGAAACTGATCAAGGAGAGAAGCAACCTGGAACTAAAGAGAAACTTTCTTAACAGTGAGGACCATTAACCAGTGGAACTGCTTGCCACTAGAAGTTGTGGGTGCCTCCATCACTGGAGGCTTTTAAGAAGAGACTGGACATCCATTTGCCTGAAATGGCATAGGGTTTCCTGCCTAAGCAGAGAGTTGGACTAGAAGACCTCCAAGGCCCCTTCCAACTCTCTTCTTCTCTTTCCCTGGGAGCCTGACTAGGTGGCTCAGTGTCTAAGACACTAACCTTGTCAATCAGAAAGTTTGGCGGTTCGAATCCCTAGTACAGGTTTAGATTTTTTTTAGATTTAGATTGAGTTGGAAGGGACCTGGTAGGTCATCTAGTCCAACCCCCTGGCCAAGCAGGAGACCCTGGCCTACACCATTTCTGACAGATGGGCAATCCAGTCTCTTCTTGAAAGCTTCCAGGGATGAAGTTCCCACAACGTCTGAAGGCAAGTCTCCTGCCTGAGCAAGGGGCTGGACTAGATGACCTCCAAGGCTTCTTCCAACTCTATTCTTCTCTCTCCCCTGGAGCGATAGAGGACTCCGAGCCTGACTAGACGACTCAGTGTCTATCAGAAAGGTCGGCAATTTGGCAGTTCGAATCCCTGGCACAGCTCTCCTGTGGGAGCAGGGGGTTGGACTAGATGACCTCCAGGGACCCTTTCCAATCCTATGATTCTGTATTCTAAGCCTCCACCTGTGTGGCTTGCTCCATCATAGACTTTTTTAAGAAGCCTTTTGGGTCTGGAGTGGTATAGTCATGGTGTCTCCTGCTTGAGAAGGGCGTTGGACTAGATGACCTCCAGGGACCCTTCCAACTCTGTTAGACGGCTTTCTTAACGCTCATCCTTTCCAAGCCCGACGGGGGCCACCCCGAATCAGCCCTCCCCGCCGTCCTTCCTTGAATTGGGGGGGAGGGGAGGGGGCGGGGCAGGTAGCGGGGTGGGGCTTCGGGAGCCGGGGACACGCCCCTTCATGAATAATCCATCACCGGGGGGGGTTTAAAAGGCCGGAGAGGCGGGTCACGGGGCGCATTTGCCGGCGTCCAGGCGAAGCGCCCAGTTCCTCCGTCCAGCCCGGTTCCCAGCTTCTCTCCGGACCGCCGCGATGTCGCTGCCGCTGTCGGACTACGAGAAGAGGAAGCAGATCAGCGTGCGGGGCTTAGCCGGGGTGGAGAACGTGACCGACCTGAAAAAGAACTTCAACCGGCATCTCCACTTCACGCTGGTCAAGGATCGCAATGTCTCCACGCCGCGCGACTATTACTTCGCCCTCGCCCACACCGTCCGCGACCACCTGGTCGGGCGCTGGATCCGCACCCAGCAGCACTACTACGAGAAGGACCCCAAGGTGTGGACACCTCCCCCCCCCCAGTCCTTCCTTCCCCTCCCTCCCCACTTTCCTCCTGCCTACCTCGCAGGGAGGTTGTGCTTAAGCCGGTTTTGCCCACGCGTGGAATGCTCGTGGGCTCGGATTACAGAGGGGAAAAGGGGGGGACGTGAGAATACTTGCTTGATACAACTTGCTTGCTTGCTTGCTTTGCCAGTCCCGGCAAAGGTCTTTGCCCGACCCCCAGCCCCATCATCCCCTGCTGGGATGGCAAACTGGGATAGGAGTTGAGTTTGAGTTCAAGGGGTGGGGGGCTCCCCCTTACTTCTTACTTTGCTGGCTCCCTAAAACAGCACCCCTTGAACCTCCCACCCCCCAGCCCCTATCATCCCCAGGCAGGCGTGCGGCTGAGATGATGGGCTCTGTAGTCCAGAGGCATTCAGAGAAGAAGAGCAAGGCGGTCCCGTTGGTCTACATTCTGATTCTGTTTTTTTTTCCCACCAGCCAGTTATGGGCAGGCAGGACTCCAAGGGGTTTTTATTTGAGGGGGGGGCAAGCTGGCAGCGATGGGGAGAGGGGGCGAGGGCCAAGATCAAAGCCGCACAGGGGCCTATTAATAGCTGTTGATAGCATCGCTTATAATCACAGCCCCAGTTTGGGAAGGAGGGACCGGCGGGGGGGGGGGGGAACCCACCGTCAAAGTCTCCTTCGCACACTCATGTGCAAAGCAGAACACACCTGCGTGCAAAGGCAGAAGCCCAGTGGAGTCTCACCCCCTTTCTTTGCCACCCCAAAAAAAGTTCTCGCAAGAGGAGGGGGGGCTTCCTTGCCTTGCGAGGGCTGCCCTCTCTCCCTTTGCGCCCCCCCCCCCGTGCAAATGCACCATGACTTTTTAAATTTAGCCAGCCTGACATTTTGCGGCTGTGAACATTTGCCATTTGATTCCAGCTATGCTTGTTGTGTCAGCAAGAGCCTTGCAAGAGATACTGGATACGGCTTGCAAACTTTTACCAGGCAGCTGGATGGGAGGGGGGGGGAAAGGTCAGGAAAGGAGCTGCAGGCTGGTGGGGTCCCCTGGCACAGCTTGGGGGGGGGGGGGAGGGGGGGGGGGGGGGGCGGGTTGCCGACGGCCGCTTTGAAAAATTTCTCCCCTTTTTTTGGGGGGGGGGGGGCTGGAGGTGTTACAGCTGCATTTGCTCAATTCCTGGGGGTCCCGTCTGTTTTGCACGATTGCGTTCAGTTCCTACGCACAAGTGGGTTGCGTTCGCGCAACCCGTAAACTTGAAGTTCTGCAAATGCAGCCATTTGGCACGATGGTGTAAAATTCAGGTGGTTCTTGATTTACAAGTTTCGTGTAGCGACAGTTCCAAGTTCCAATGGCACTGGGGGAAAAAGGAGACTTTTGGCCATTTTTGAGCCTTGGTGGCGCAGCAGACTAAAGTGCTGTTAAATAGCACCAGCTGCCTGGTTGACTCAGCCTTCCATCCTTCCGAGGTAGGTAAAATGAGGACCCTGATTGTGGGGGCAATAAGCTGACTTTGTATAAAAAAAAATAAAAAAAGAACACCGCTTGGGGGGGGGGCCCGAAAGCCCTACTAAGCAGGTAGATACAAAAAAGTATGAAGACTATTGCTTAACGCATTGTAAGCCGCCCTGAGTCTCCGGAGAAGGGCGGCATACAAATCGAACCAATACATAAATAAATAAATAAATTTTTCACACTTACGATGATTGGCCAATGGTCACATGATCAAAATTCAGGCCCTTGGGCAACTGTCTCGTATTTATGACGGGTGCTGTGTCCCCCGGGAGGTCGTGTAAATCTCGTTCTGACAAGCCAAGTCAACGGGGGAAGCCAAATTGGCTTAATAGCCGTGTTACGAAGTTAACAACTGCAGCTGTTCACTTTAACAACTCTAGCAAGAATGGTCGTAAAACGAGGCATTGCTCACTTAACACATGTATGTCTCCCTTAGGAACAGAAATGTTGGGCTCGATTTTGGTCGGAAATCCAGGGCTGCCTGTATGCTGCATGAACAGGCTCATTCTTCACAATCCCCACTCAATGCCTGACCAAGTGGCTAAGACGCTGAGCTTGTTGATCAGAAAGGTCGGCAGTTCAGCGGTTCGAATCCCTAGTACGGGTCTCATGTGCGAGCAGGGGGGTTGGACTAGATGACCCCCAGGTCTCTTCCAACTCTGTTATTGTTAAGAACATTCCTGCAGCCGGGGGAAATAAAAACCAATGGGACAGCTGGGGAATTCTGGGAGATGAAATCCACAATAGTCTTCAAATTGCCCAGTTTGGAGACCCCTGGAATAGTATCATCCCAATGAATGAGAAGGTAATAAAATCTTGCAGTAGCAAAATCTCTTAGGATTTTCTATTCTGCTGTTATTGAGGGAGGTAGCTGAGTTCTTCTTTGGTGCTTTCTGGGTCTTTCTCTCCAGATTTTTCTTCTCCAAAATATTTTGCAAAATTCAGGGTTTTCTCATTCAGATATTCGGAAGTTGGGAGTCTATGGGTTTGGTGCAAAAAAAGGTGTGGTTTACTTATTAACCGGGTTGATGGGAAATGTAGCATCCATTGGTAACCGCCTTGCAGTGGTGAAATCCAAATTTTTTTTCCTACCAGTTCTGTGGGTGTGGCTTGGTGGGCATGGTGTTGCTTGGTGGGCATGGCAGGGGAAGGATACTGCAAAATCTCCATTCCCAACTCACTCCTGGGGGAAGGATATTGCAAAATCTCCATTCCCACCCCACTCCAGGGGGGAAGGATACTGCAAAATCTCTATTCCCACCCCACTCCTGGTGGAAGGATATTGCAGAATCCCCATTCCCAACCCACTCCTGGGGGAAGGATATTGCAAATATTCGTTTGGGTTTTGGGTCACGGAAAGGAAAAAGAGGGAATAGTTAAAATTAAAAATATTAATGGGGGTAATTAAGGTAATGACTTGGAATGTTAAAGGTACTGGGAATCAGATTAAGAGAAGACGTTTAGAATTTAAGATTAAAAGAGATTCTCCTGACATACTTTTTATGCAAGAAACTCATCAGAAATCTGATATAAACAGGATGTATTTAAAAGGGATGCAGGTTTATGAAAAAGCTTTTGGGTCCTCAAAATCTAGAGGTGTTGCAACATTAATATCAAATAGAGTCCAATTTAAAAAAACAAAGTAATAGCAGATATTTATTGATGGATGATATTTGATAACAGGATGTATTAACGAGGAAAAATAACATTAGTTAATTTATACGCACCAAATGTGAATCAAAAAGATTTTTTGAATAAGATTACCGATTTGTTGCAAACTGAAAGGGTAGGGAAAGTAATTATTGCTGGTGATTTTAATTTAATTAGAAACCAGATGGATAGTACCAATCCTACCCGATATGGTGGAATAAGAAAAATGGGGATACTTGATAATTGGATGTTGCAAAATGATGTAGTAGATGTTTGGAGGGAGATTAAAGGTAACGAAAGAATGTATACTTTTCACTCAAAGGTATTTAATTCATATTCAAGAATTGACTATATTTTTGTATCTGAATCTGATGGATAACGTGGATAATATGGATGTTGGAATATTTAAAGACTCTGACCACGCAGAATTGTTACTAGAATTAGATATGTTTTTGGAGAAAAAAGAAAATTGTTGGAGATATGATGAAAAATTATATAAAAACTAGGAAGATAAGAATCGTATTCTTAAGAAATGGGAAGAAAATTGGGATTGGAATGATAATGGGGAAGTTAATTATGGAACAGTTTGGGACACAATGAAAGCAATTTTTAGAGGAGAAAGTATTAAATTATCAAGTAGGAAGTATAAGAATTATAAAGTAAAAATAGAGGAAAAGAAGAAATTGATAAAAGAACTGGAAAATAGATTTCTAGAGACTAAGGATAGGAAATTATGGGAGGAACTTAAAAAATTGAAAAATAAACAAATAGAGGAAGATACAGAAATAGTTAAAAAAAATTAAGCTATTTAAAAAGAGAATTTTTTGAATATGGTAATAAAAATTCAAAATTATTAGCAAGAATGGCGAAAGATTAAAAAAGAAAAATAGGTGTCCTAATAGATGAAAAAGGTAAGAGATGTTATAAAAAAATAGAGAAATGTGAAATTGTTAAAAAGTTTTTTCAAGAATTATATCTTAAAAAAGAAATTGATAATTGTAAATTAAAAAATTTCTTAGAAAAATATGGTCAGAAGAAAATTGATAATAAATATAAAGAAAAAATGGAAAAGGATATTACCTCTGAGGAAATTAAAGATGTGATTCAGAAGCTAAAACTTGGAAAATCTCCAGGTGAGGATGGGTTACCAGCAGAATTTTATAAAGAGTTTAAAGAAATTTTGATCCCAAAATTACATTAATTGTATAATAAGATATTACATGGAGATGATATTCCCATGTCCTGGAATAGAACAATTATATCCTTAATCCCGAAACCAGGTAAAGATTTAGAAAAGATTGAATCCTATCGGCCCATTTCCTTGATTAACCAAGATGCTAAGATATTTACTGCAATTGTAGCAAATAGATTGAATAATTTTATAAATATATAAACCATAATCAAGTAGGTTTTGTTAAAGGGTGTTATATGTGCGATTTAGTTAGAAGAGTATTAAATGTTATTGATATTGCTGAGAATAATGGTGATAAGATAGGTATTCTTGCCTTGGATATTTTTAAAGCTTTTGATTCTATACAATGGGATACTATAAAAGAAATGATTTCTGCATTAGGATTTGGTAATAAATTTATTCATATTATTTCCAAATTGTACCAGAGGGGTATGGCAAGAGTGAAGGTAAATGGTATATTTTCACAAGATATAAATTTGGAAGTAGGGACAAGACAGGGTTGTCCTCTGTCTCCAACCCTATTTTTATTAGCAATGGAAATTTTAACAACTTTGATTGAAGAGGATTCAGAATTAATAGGTTATAAAGGCGTCAAAGTTAATTTATATGCAGATGACACTCTTGTCATTTTAAATAATA